GAACCTTACAAGGTTAAAAACTAGCTTGTGTACTGTAACAGCCAGTTAGGGCAGAGCTAGGATTAGACTCCAGGGACCTGTCCTCTGCACTGTGCTGGTTTTTCCATTGCACACCGTAATAGCCAGGTCGTAAAGATACAATTTTTCCTTTTCAAATGGAAGCAAAATATTTTCCTGTTTGTCCATTCAAATCACCTGGACCTCTTCATATCTGTCCTTGGGAGTCTGCCTTTTTTCCCATTAAAGATGTTGACACTGCAACAGATTCTGAAGAGCCAGTGTTAATGACACAGTGATGAGCAAGGGGTGCCGCTTTGTGCCCTGTGAGTCATAAAGCAAGTAATCACCTCATGAGGTGCACAGTGTGTGTCCAGCTTCATTCTCTATTTCATGCATGAGAGAAAGGGAAAAGTCAAAACCAAAATGAGCATTTATTGACCTGCTGCTTTGCACCTGTTAGATGCTTTCTATTCAGTACTTCAAGGCCACAGAATGGTGAAAGCAGTGGCCACAGACACATCTGGGTTCAGAGCCTGACTCTACCACTACCTGAGCAAGCAACTTACCCCGGTCCTGTTTCCTCATGTCTGAACTGGGGATACTAATTGTATTAGTCCGTTTTGTGTTGCTGTAACAGAATATCTGAGACTGGGTAATCTATGAAGAACAGAGGTTTATTTGGCTCACGATTCTGGGACAGCTGCATCTGGCACGGGCCTCAGGCAGCTTCTACTCATGGTGGAAAGCGGCACGCAGCTGGCAGGTACAAGCAGATCACATGGCGGGAGGAAGCAAGACAGAGGAGGTGCCAGGGTCTTTTAAACAACCAGCTCTCATGGGAACGAATAGAGCAAGAACTCACTCTCCCAGGGAGAGCACTAATCCATTCATGAGAGATCTGCCCCCATGACTCAAACAGCTCCCAACACTGCCACATTGGGGATCAGATTTCCACACGAGTTTTGGGAGGACAACACATTGGAACTCTATCACTAATGCTTACCTCTTGGGGATTTCTGAGAAGCAAATAAGATGATGGCTGTGAAGTGTTCAGTGCTGGGTGCTCTCTCTTCAAATCCTCATGGCCATGTCCTACCAGGAAACAAATGCTCTGCTTGCTGAAGAAGAACTGAACTCTCTCTAAGCCTCCACTCATCTTGATATGAAAAACACTTAGTGCCTGTAGAGGCTCCTTCCCTCTTTGTTTTCCTTTCATACAGGGTGTAAAGACACTCAACTGACCAAGGTTTCGATTATATCCAGGCAAGCTAAGGTGGCCATGGAACTCTGTGCTTTTACACCACCACTCTCTTCTTTCTCTCTCTTTTACAAACTGACAGAAGGCAGGATTCAGTTCTGGTCAGTTACAATTATAATCATAAAGATTCAGGGGAAGATGTGGGTTTTTTTAAGCCTTCAGAAAGATGCCACAGGCAGCCTCGTTACTTCGGTATATTTTTGGTGGGTAGTTAGATGATTTATATAGATTTTGTTTAAGTAGGACAGAGGAACCATAAAGAGGTTATGGTTTGGCTTTTTGTTCCATGCATACAACACAAACAGCATAAAACAGTCAAGGTAATTCTTAACTTAGAAAAAAAAAGTAGGGTGTCACATCAACAGGGATTTAACCTGGTGTAACAAGTTCAGGAAGTCAGACCTCTGATTCTAATCATAACTTTTACTACCTGTGTGATCTTGACCAAGGCACTTTAAACTTTAGGATCTTATTACCCCAAGTTTGGTTCCTGGACCAGCAGCATGGACATCTCCTGGGAGCTTGTTTAAAATGCATAACCTGGGTTTCCCCCCTCACACACACACCCCCAGCCCCACCAGACCTACTGAAGATGAATCTGCAATGTCCCAAGAGCCCCAGGTGATTGGCATAAACATTAACATTTGCAAAGCCCTGGTCTGTGAGCCTGTTCCTTCTTTGTTCATATTGGATGGTATTTCCCACCTGAAGACCTCACAACATTGTGATGAAGAGCAGATGAGATAATATAATATACATAAGTATCATTTAAAACTGCAAAGTACTGCACAAATGCCAAGAATTAAAATGTCCTCCGATGTAAACGACTAGGAATGGTAATCGTGTTATTATACAAAATGCGTCTTAGTTAATGGCAATCAGTGTAATGGGATTGGTCTTTTCTGATCTTTGCTTATGATACTCTAATAATATTTTCCAGATTATGACCTTTCAAAGATGAGGGACTTCATCAACCAACAAGCTGATGCTTATGTGAAGAAAGGCATCCTTGATAAAGAAGAAGCCAGTGCTATCAAGCGCATCTACAGCAGCCTGTAAAAATGGCAAAAGATACAGGAGCCTTTCGACTGTGTCAGAAAACATAATATAGCTTAAAACATTTCCAACTCTGTAACTAAAGTGTTTTTCACCTGAGGATTATTAGAAAATGCTGAATTTATAGTAGATAACCTTTTAGAAGGGGTTAAAACATAGCTTTCTTGCCATAAAAACTATCCAAAAAAGTAAAGTTATATGTAAGCTGGGATTTTGTATACAGAATTCTTATTTCCTCACAGACTTACATTTGATAATCCAAGATATGTTATTTTGGAAAAACCTCTAATGGACTGAACTTAAAACTAAACCTTCTTCCCATAGCACCCCCCCCCCCAACACACACAAGCACTCCCTGAAGAATTAAGGAGACTCTATTTTCAAGGCATTTGCCAGATACCAAAGCATCTTGTAGAATATGTCCGTTAACAGGATGTCATTTCCATTAGCAGTTCCCTTTTGGGAGCTTAAATAAATTCACATGCCCTCAAAGCCTCATAGCTTAAGGAGAGCCATCTGCTTTCTGGGCTGCTCTTTTTAGCTGGCTCTTTATTAGGCCCAGTGGCACAAAAAGGATCCTGAAAATGGGCATAGGATTTGCTGGATTGATTAACATTTTCCCCCAGTTGGTAACCTTTTCTATTAGTGCGTTTTCAGACATTGAGTTTGCTTATAAAGAGAGATCTATTTATGTACTCTCCAGGAAAACAAATGAGCTAATAAACACAACATAATGGAAGGTAAAAATTTATGTCAGGTCTCAGTTACCTAAATTAGATTTGACCCAAGCCAAGGTTTCTCAACAGACAGCAAAGGGTACAAATAGAGACAAAAATCATTCTCCTCCCTGTGAACCAAAGCTGGTAGAGAAGCTTCCCTGGAGGAAAAGGTTAATGATGTCCAGGTCACTGCAACTCTTCCTCAGCCACCACCACAAACACGACCCTGGAAACAACCATGCAGAGGCACAAGATCCTCTGGAAATGCTAATGGTTGATGTTCCCAAACCAAAGAATGCTTTGAAAGTGTATTATTCAGTGTAAATTAATTACATAAATATTTTTCTATATATTTGCTTAAAATTGTAAAAATAACATAGTGCTTTGTGTATTAGCCATCACCACTTCAACTGGCCTTCTGAAACCTACATTGCTCTCTTGCATACCCCAACCCAGTATTCTTTTGGCGAGGGCTGGAGAATTTACAGGGAAACAGTAAAAGGTTATTTTTCATGGGTAGGAGACCATTGTTGTTCCTTCCCATCCTAACCAGTGTTGCAGAAACAAAAACCAAAGCCTGCACATAAAAACTAAACTCAATATGTTCTAGAGAAGAAAGGACCCATTGGCGACAGGGGAGAGGGGACTAAAAACACCTTTGCCCAAAGGGCACTTGCCAAAGCACAGTGACTCAGACTGTTTTCATGAGTCATCCTTGGTAACATGACCAACTCTACTTCAACCATGTCCAGACAGGCTGCTTCTACATCATTTCAAAGCATTTTATCCACTCACTGATCTATAATATATAGAATTACTATGCAGTATTTTTTAAAAATAAGAAATTTGTTAAGGGAGTTAATCGTAGTTTTCAAAGCACATTGACATTCATTAGTTCCTATCGATAACTAAGACAAAGGGAGATCATTAGTTGTGTTTTATAAGTGAGGAAACCAGTTCACAAAGGGAACAGAGGCCTAGGATGTGCTCAAGCTCATGTGGCCAAGAAATGGTAACATTGGAACTAGAACCCAGGCTTCTTGTCTTAGTCCACTCCTCCACAGTGAGTCTGCACAAGGCAAGGATGAAAGTGCTCTAGTCCAGTACCATTCAACTGTGGCTGCAAAGAATTCGTAGTTACAGATAACTTGAAGATGAGAGATGTTTTGGCTAGAAATTGCTGAGAGACCTTAGGCAAAAATAAAACACTCAGAAAAATGTTTTTGAGATTGTGGTCTTAAATTCAAATTTGAGCTATGTTATGTCTTTTGGATAGTGTCTTTGGATTTATGTCTTTTGAGTTACTCAAATTTCAGATCATTTTATGTTTGGGTTACTCTCAAATTTCAGATTGTGATTACATTTTTTAAAGTTCCTAGGTCTCCACAGAGGCTTGCTTGAGCCTTTTCTTACATACATAACTGTTTGCCTTTTTAATTTTTTTCTTTTAGTTTTCCCCTCTTCCAACTAACTTCTCACAGTTCAGGTAGTAGTAGATACAAGAAAACAGCAAAGGATGATCAAGAGAGCATCCTATTCCAAATAGGCTATAACAACATGAAAAAAAAAGACACAAGGCGTTATGTATGCTAAATTATGAACAAACAAGAAAATCAGTAAGACAAGGACAGACAGCTTCTGTTTCCCATTAACGCACCAGCTTCAGGTGCTGGATATACACAGTTCTAGTTCTGCAAGTTCTGCTGCATTGACACCTAAGGACACTTGCTTCCTGGTCAATGGAAGACCTGGAGAAGCAAGACAGGAAGGAAGAAAATGAGGAAAGAGAAGAGAGAGAAAAGTGGGAGAACGAAAAGAGGAAAACAAAAGTCCATTTTGTTCCACAGCAGACTCCTCTTGGGATGTTGGAGACAGGTAAATAGAAGAAATTTTTGTGGAAGCCTAAAGATTTAACTTGACAGTTGAATAGAAGTCAAGAACAAAAAAATATTTAACTGTAAATTACATATAGCTCAAAGTTTATTGATGTAACTTATACATATAATAATGCTAAGACAAAATAAACTATGTGAATAAAAACCTAACCCCCAATTCAAATGAGTATAGTGATTACACAACACTCTATAAGTGACTGAGCAACGAAACAGAAACTAGAATTCAGCAATGTGTCAGATTATGGTAGTGTTTATTTGGATCATATCCCATGTTTTCAATCTATCTGAATCACCTTAGGGCAATGAAAATGCAAAAGTTATTAGTAACTAATTGACTTGCTTTTAGATTATTGAAACTTCTTGTTCAAAATTGCATTTACAACAAAAAAACATTAAAGTGGGGGAGAAGCTGTCACCATTTCAAAACTAATTTAAAAATCAATTTTATTCTTCCATTTGTTGAAAAAAATAGACTCAAATATGAAAACATAGTTTATTTTCTCATTCAGACTTTTGTAGTTTATTTTTACAAAATAGCAGACAAAATTTGGTTCTTTATATTAATACAGAATATGTATCACATATCGAAATATATATATATAGCACTTAAGTTATAAACACACAATAAATCAGCATCACTTCAACAGCAACCATGTTTTTCACATAATTAGGATTTCATCGGGAGATAAGCATTGTTTTCAGCTTGAATATATAGTCTTTGATGCTTTCTGTCAACCAGTATTTACAAAAGCTAGCCTAAAAACTACTACCACCTACAAAAGTGATGAGATTGAGGATATAATTTTGCTATCATGCCATAGCAAAGACTTAAAATTATAGAAAGCCAGAGGGAACTAATAACTTCAGTGCAATTGCAGTAGGTGGAACTACTTAATTATGATTTTAAGATGTATGCTACAGGAATCCAAAAGGGATGCTTTTGAATCTTCAGTTGTTGGATTCTTTATGGTCCAAGCATCTCTTAATCCAGATTAGAGTTATGCCCCCTAATCTCCTAACTGTGATAGAGGGAAGATGCATAGGGACTTTCTTCATCTCTGAAAAAAAGAAATACAGCATAAATCAGTGTTTAAAAAGTATTCAGAAAACTAAAACATATACGTATTATAAAATTTAATATCCACCTGTCAAATAAGGGCAGGAGTACATAAACTTAGAATATTGTGCACACCTTGAAAGTTGTATGAAACACAAGTACTTATTAGGGTATTCCATTTTATTGGTGTCTCAATTATTGGAATAAATACTTGTATGTGTATATTTATATTTGTTTATATTATATTTAAATATATTAAATTTATATACTAAATTATACTTATATTTATTTACGTTTTCTACATTCCACCTCTTTTTCAAAAGGATTTGAGGTACTTACAACAAAAGGCATACATACAAGGGTTCTTCAAAAAGTTCATGGAAAATGGACTGAAAAGATATTACGAATTTTTCCATGACCTTTTTGAAGATCCTTTGTATAACAAGATGAATAATATAGAAATAAAAAATAAGGACTAAGGAAAGGAGAAGGGAACCAATATATTAACCATAGAAACACTATAGTAGTTGAACCCGGGCATCAATTTTAGTTTCAAGCTTCCCAGTAGCCAGGGCAAAAAACGAAACCNATAGAAATAAAAAATAAGGACTAAGGAAAGGAGAAGGGAACCAATATATTAACCATAGAAACACTATAGTAGTTGAACCCGGGCATCAATTTTAGTTTCAAGCTTCCCAGTAGCCAGGGCAAAAAACGAAACCCAATAACTTGTGCCTTTTTGAAGTCATAAAGGAAGAAGGAAACCAATCCTATAAGACAGAGAAAGGTTTGCCCTAGTACCAAGTTAAAAAACAAAGAAAAAAAGCTCACATGAGATCTTACGTAAGAAACAGCTGGTAACAAATAATGGACAATGTCTTTGACAAATTTTATAAGCATCAGAATTTTACAAGTATTTTCTAGGGCACTGCTTCCCTTGAAAGTGTCAACGAGATGCTTCTATTTGGCTGCTATAAAGAATTGCTAGCTAGACAGTGATGCTAATAAAGCAAAGAAGCAAACTTTTTAATAATAAATGACAGACAAAAACACTGCGACATAAAAAGCTTTGTGCAGCATGCAGTAGCTCTGCTTAGATTTCATATATTAAAATGCCTTTCCAGAATTAAAATATAGTTTTTAAAGCAAAAAAAAGAAAAGGAAAGAAAGATTTGGACAAGCAAGGACATCGTAAGAGTAATTCATTCAGCCTCTGACATTTGTATCAGGGTACTTTTACCTGCTCTCTTCTTTTAGTTTCTTGGCTGCCTGTGTTGATAACTTAATCTGCAAGTCAAGTCTCTGCAAGAAATCTCTGGCTGACACGTCTCCAGCCTGCACCGGCTGAACATCAGATTCTTGAGGGCTGGAAGGAGGGAGGTCTTTCCCAACCACCACCGGCTCCTCTTCATGAGAAAAATTGCTATCAACAGTTTCATTTTCTGGAGAATCAATGGAGTTAAGTCCATTAAACAACAAAGGCTTCTCTGATATAACTGGGATGTTCAAAGTTTTCCTCAGAAATATACAATCATTGGTAAACAGTTTATTGGCCCTTTTAATCTGCTCCATCTAAAATACAAAAGAAGAAACACAGAATTACTTATAACCAAGTCCAGGAGTAAGGCTTATTATACAACACAGAACTAAAAATATCCATGAGCAAAAGTGTGCAATGCTTTCTCTAAATCTGAAAATCTTCATTCGGGTTTGGTCACCTCCAGTTATTAGGAGACGTTGGGAAATTATTTCCCAATTTCAAAAAAAAGGAAAATTATTTTCCCCCCACTATAATTTCCCCTATAAGATACCTTCTAACATTAGTGACCTTAAATCTCTGAAGTTAAAAAATATAGAATTTTTAACACTTATTTAATAAATTTCATTCTTGTTTTAACATTTCTATTATCTGATTTTTTCTAATTACTGTTGCTATTTACTTATGGAGTACAACCTATGTCTCTAGAATTGTGCTTGGTGAATATAACATATACGGGAGGTGGTAGAGACATAAGTACAACCAGAATTTGGACAAATTCTGGTCCAAATTGTAGGTTGGGGCTGCAATCCTTAAGAAAGACCTCACGGAGAAGGTGGTTGTTTTGATTTTGATTTTTTTTACTTCAGATGGGCCTTAAGAATGAGTAGGCAGACATGGGACAGGTTAAGAAAAGGAGGTGGGGGGCACTTTACATAGTGTCTCATTCTTTTCACCCTATAGAATGTGTACATGAAGATCCACTTTACAAATAAAAGGAACAAAAGCTCATAGAGATTATGTATCATGGAATCATCATACAACTAGCAGATAAAGTAGCTAGAATTTCATACAGGTTTTTATAACCTCAAACTCTCCTATAGCCGAAGGATGCCTCCCCCAAACCACAGAGATGGGGAAAGAAAGTGGGGTGAAAGGGGGAGTAAAATTTACATATGTTTCTTCATTTAACCTTCATAACAGTTCTGTAATCAAGATATCATCATCTCCTTTTTACAAATGAGGAGTCAGAGACTCAAGAGAGTTAAGTGGCATGCCTAAGTCCACAATGCTGGTAAGTGCAGACAGGACTCAAACTATGCTGGCTCTGGGCTTGTTGGAGAAATGCCTACTCTTATGTTCATCACACTGCATTATAATGTGTCTGCAGACTTGTCCGCCCTACTAGCCCGGGAACTCGCACCAGGCTAGGCACTCTGCATGCAACTGTGGCATCTTATTTTCACCACAACTCTTTCTTGGGAGGTATGTAACCCAGACAGTTTGGTGCAATACCTAAACACATAGGCTTCTGATGGATCTGGCTCAAATCTCAGCTCCACTAACATGAACAGTATGAACATAAGCTTGTTACTTGTTTCATTGAGCCTGTTTCCTCA